TGCCTTCATTGAGGAATTTGTAAGGGAAACCAGTTCCTGTCCTCCTTGCACGTGAAGAAAACCATCCATGCAACTAACCCGTTCACCTGGAAATCGAGCCCAGGTCGAACAACCAGCGTTCATCGATTTTGCCGTCCAGCCGCTAGTGAGCGGATGCAAAGAGGAAACTACTTTGATAAACTGGTTTAAAATGCAATGAGGATAAGATATTTAAGGATATTAGATAAATGACTGACTGTTAGAATCTGAATGAAAATTTCTGTCGCAAGTTTGCTAAATGAAAACTACCGTCTCAAGTTTGCTAAATGAAAATTGCTGTCGCAAGTTTGCTAAATGAAAACTACTGTCTCAAGTTTGCTAAATGAAAATTGCTGTCGCAAGTTTACTATGGGTATACACTACCAGATTACGGAGGTAAGCTCTGATAAGAGGCTAAGAGAGAGAAATTTTGGAAATCACATTGTTACTTAAATTGTTGAAAATGCATCTCAGGCTTCTGCAGAACTGTGAATCACAGAACGTAAACTAGCAACAGTAGCCGGAGCATTAAGTCTCTACTAGCTATAATAAAAATTGCTTCTTTAACGCAAACATCAAAAGAATTGAACCCTTTTAACAGATGCATTGGTAGCAATAATAATGATCAGTCATATAGGTTTGGATACTTGTAGCTACAAGTATCCAAACTTGTATGACGGATTATTATTAATGCAGGTCAAATTATTAATCAGTTTGGATACTTATACTGTTATATTGCTTATTTTATGCATTGCTTATTATTATTAAAAACTGACATCGCATTTCTCCTACACATTATTAAATACAGATTGGTCTTAAAAAGGAAGAATTTAAGAGGAAAAGTATTCATGTTCAGGAAATATGCACAAGATGTTTTCATTGTCAGTATTATAGCTTTCTGATGAGTGTTTCGACAGTAGTATTCTTGTAATGAAACAATGCGCAAAAGCCGCTATATTCTTTTTTCTGTTTTATTTGTAACTGACAGCTTTCGTAAACATTTGCACCATTACTGTAATTAACAATTGTTTCTAATGCCACATATTACATACATTAGCACAAAATAATCGTTTACTCACAGTCTAAGAATGAGTAACATTATGTTCCATCATCTTTATTATATTAATTTTTTATTAAATTTTTCACAAACTTTACCTATGCTTATATATTTTATTCCTTTATGTTTATTACCCCAAAGTGGACTTTGCGTTTATTTCCTTCATTTTGTATATTATAAAAATTATATTAGTTCTAAAACGCTAAAGTTTTACTTTGCAAATCGCTTTTAAAAGACGTAAAAAATTAACAGGTCGTAAAACAATCATTTTTAATGCAAATCATTACAATCAATCCTTAATTATGCGTAGAAATTGGAATTAGATATGAAGAAGATGTTAACTTCTTCAGCATATTTTATATAGAAGCGACAACTAACATAATTTTATAGACTTTTCGTTGAAGTATTAGAGTAGTATCAAAGCTAGTTACGCAATCGATTTGACATTCCTGCTTTAGAAACGTTTCTTTTGGGAAAACTGCATTCTCCGTTTCTAGTAAAGAAGTATTTAAAAGGCTCCTACCAATAAAATATTAAGTTTCCAGCACAGTAATTTAGAATGACTATTTTCTACTTTGTTATGGAATAGGTAAAATTTATGTAATGTAAACTTTTATGTATTCATTTTAAAACTGTTTCGGATTCTATGCGTTATAGACATACGTTGTATGTCTAAAGCACAGCGTAGTTACTAAATAAAAATAAAAAAATTGATGCATATTTTTAGCGAACGAGAAGCTTCAGGTAAATCATGCAAACTTTAACTCTGTATTTCGTTCTATAAGATAGATATATAAGTAGATAAACGTCTGAAGCTAACTAACAAGGGAGAAATACTCTATAAATACAGGTCAAGCCAATGAAATACGATACTTTTACAAGACGAGAGAGTTGGGTTCAGTTCTTGCACTTGACATTCCCAGAACACAGATTCATTCTAATATAGTTTGAGAGTATATTTTGCCAGATTAAATTTCTGTAGTCATCTAAACTACGTTAGCAAAAAGTAAAAAAAAATAAAAAGATTTTAATATATGCAAGTTAAATTAAACATATTAAACTGAATCTGAATATCTCCACCTGTAACAGATCCAAAACTAATGTAGTGTGGAAACCTCATAAAAGAATTGCGTGCTATTTTCAAGCAGAAATTTTAGTAAATAAATATACTAGAAGAAATACAGAAAAGAGTATGAACTTTCCGACACCAAATCAGCTAAATATTTAGTCTAGAGAGCCCGTAGAAGGTTATAACTTAGCCGGAGTTTCATTTCCTAGATAGAGATCTTTACACTGAAAAGAAGTTAAAGATTCAAGAGAAGACACTATGTATTCCTAACTCCATACATAGAACTGATATAGATCTGTCAAAAACGCAAACAAAATTTTTTTTTTTTTTTTTTTTTTTTTTTTTTGTGGTCTATTTGGGGGCGAGGAAGAACGTAAGAGAAACAGAGAAATCAGAGCATGGAAAACGAGATGATGCAGGAAAGCTCAGAAAATGATGTTTTGCCAGAAAAGAAACATTCTTATTTAATGGCGCTCTGAAAAACGAAGAGTCAGAGGACTAAAAGATTAGTATTTAATGCTATTAGATAACATTTTTGATAAATTATCTATATTTTTAACAATCATTTTCCTGATAATTATAATAGAAAATAGCTTAGTTATATTAATTTTGGATAGATAATTCCCCTCTTTTCTCTCGTTTTGTTAACGTATAGATTTATGTAACATGAATTCGGATAATATGGTATTTCTTAGACATCTAACAGCCATGTTATATAGTGGTTAGTATCCAGAAAATGAACAGGTGAAGCAGAAAGTTAGCGAAATGGATTCTGAGTTGTGAAAGCATTATGCTGAATGAAATCATACTCGTCATTCAGCATAGTGATAAAATGCTTAGTCTTGATTATATTTAGAAAATATAGTCATTGTAGTGGATTTTATCACTAAACTGATTGGACTTAATTACTAAATTTATATTTATGAGCATATTTAAATGGGCTACAGAAATATAAATTTAGTTCTAAAATTAATATTTTTATTACACTTAATGCCCAAGCCTTTCTGTGGAAACTTAAAGAATTGAAACTTTCATTTCACTGAATAGAAATTTTCATCTAAGAGCGACTACGATCATCTTTTTTTAGAGATTATCATTGCACCTTAATGCTGTCAACAATTCATACGAATGCTTTTGAAATCTCATGACAACATATGTAGTACTGCTTATGCAGGCTTGCGTCAAAACACTTGTCCTGGTTTCGCAGACTATTCCACGGAAGAAATTCTGTGATAAAAAGAAAGCACAATACGTATGAGTGAGGTATGAATGCCTTAACGAACAGATACCAAAGGAAAAAACTGATAATTTCGAACAAGAGTATAACTACCATTTGGCTGAGTGTTTAGTCACTACAAAAGCTTAAACAAATTCAACCATATTTTATTTTATAAAAGAGTTTTACTTCTCCAATGACCAAAAAAGAGTGAAATACGGGAACTTAAATATGGAAGATGTTTCTTTAGTGAATTAATAGAGCAAAATTTTATAAGGTTTGTATTATTTTCCTTACTATTTCAAGGTGTAAGGATTTGCATACAAATATTATTTTTCTCTTTTCTTATTTCCATTCCATGCAGTATTTCCCCCCCTTGTTTGTTTCAAGTTACCCGCAAGCGATTTTAAATGATTTACCTTTTGACGTTATTAACATAACGTTTTCGGAAATATTTATCTAGCATATCCAATCAGTTTTACTCTATACAAATTAAATAAATTTCCTGGGAAATGAAGCTTGAATTTTTATATGGAGTTCTCCATGCCGTAGGTACCACAGTATATGTAATAGCTTCTCTTACTAGTTTACTAACTTTTCATAGCAGTTTTACCATTATACTATGATAATATTCTTCTTCGAAGGATAATGTAACGTGAATGTTAAATTTTCCCCACTTCATTGGTTCCGCTGTGATGACTGTCATTAAGGCAGCTCTCGCCGCTACGGTAACATGACTATGGCAAATTTGTAGCTGCTTGTTTACTACGTAATTCGAATCCAAAGAAAAACTGCAAATGCTTAGCAGTTTCAAATCCTTTACCACCGATTATTATCGAAGGTAAATGGATTGCATTACAAACGGAAAACACTTTTGCATTACAAACGGAAAAGAAAACTTTTTCATTTCAAACGGAATAAACTTTTGCATTACAAACGGAAAAAAAAATTGTTTCAGAAAGAATATATAGTGCTAGAACATTTGGTACAAAAGTATCGGAATTTATAGTCGCGCATCCTTAAATGAATTTTAAGCAAAGAAAAGAATTTAAATTTCCCTCGAAAGTTTGGACCCAGTTACAGAGTAATCATGGCATTAGCAATGGAAATCGTAATTGTATTGAGAATTAGAACCAGTTGGTAAATTTCAAATAACTCGTACAATTACATTTGCGATTTCATTTATGCACTTAGCAAAGCAAAGTCATTGTTACTGATTTTATAAAGCTATTTTTTGAACTGAGATCAACTATGTTATACTGCTTCTGAGAACTGTGCTAATCTGTGTTCCAAGACTTGCTTCGTTTCATTGCTGAGACCAAATTATGAGCTGTCATTGTTTCACTAATCTTAGCATGGAGTTTTACTTGAAATTCTAATTTCAAGCAACAATTATATCAGGGATTCTTACCGCATACTAGTTGAATTTAAACTTAAAGGATAAAGGAGGGGAAAAGAAATATGGATGTTACTTAGGCTGTTATATAAATTCACGGAAAACACATTCATTAAGTTATAGGGCTTTTCTCAATATATAACTCATTATTTTGAGAATGCGCCTACCACTCATTCATTTAGATTGTTACATAAATTTACGAGAGATATCATATTTGTAAAAAATTCATCACATGGTCACTTACCCCAAGATACAATACCCAAAGAATCAGTAAGAGTAATATGAGTATTACATAGTTCATAACCAAACTACTGGCTTCCTTATCACCGAACATGGTACAAATTCCAGAAAACAAATCGCACCGATTCAAAAGCGGCTGAAGTAAGTGGCAGACGACGACGCAATAAACCGCGGAGAGATATGTAAAAATAGCGTACGATTTGAGTGACGGGATGGATTTTCTCCCCCGCTCCATATTTCCCAGAGCGCCTCACTTATATTTGGGGCTTTGGGCGCTCCTTACAGCAGCTTGAGGCTCACACTGGCTGTTGAAAATCCGTTAAAAGAAAGCAAGTTCGTATTTAAAAACAAAGCAGGAATTACCTTGGTGTCAATCCAGCTTTAGCCCAAACATTTCTTTAGTTGATGAAAACGATCTAATTTACTCTAATTTATTTTAGTTCATGCATTAAAACCATTAAAGTTCATCTCTTATTAATTAATTGCGTTAAGCTTCCTTAAAATTCCATGCTTAGAGAAATGAGACCTCTTTTAAGCCTGCAGCACGTTTAGGTGGTTATTGCTCCGAATATAATATTATTTATTGATTTGTTTAGCTGAGTTCATGTATGATGAACCTTAAATAAAAAGAATATTTTTAATCCATATGAAAGAAAAGATAAAATAAATAAATTTAGCTCTGATGTGTGATGATGATAAATGCTGAAAAAATGTGAAACTAAATTATAAGTTCCATTTTAGCAGATTAGGATAGCTAGTTACAGTATTTTAGAGTATATAATCTATCTGACTTAACAGCAGCACTTGAAAAATGACATATGACATATAGTCCAAATAATTAAGTGTGAAAAAAACTAAGAACTTTTTCTAGTTTTAGTTTTTATTTAAGGGTACAGCACAGAAGAAACTTTACTGTGTTTAATGCTACTGAAAAATTTTATTTTAAAATTCATCATACGTAGCAAAAAGCCACCTTTAATATAACACATAAACTTATATTTTACCACACATATGTGTGTGCACATTTTATACATGCATGCATATATATAGAAAGCCGCATATAATACAAATGTGTGCCCCTCCACCAGTGGTCGCTAAATAGTGGCAGTTTGATCCGGGTTCGAACCAATCAAACGCACTGGCCGTTTTCGTGGTTTTCTTTACTTGTAACTTGAATACGAACCAGTTTCCCTTGTTTAGAGAGATATCCACGAAGACATGTTTTCCCTAGGGTAGACAGCTCTCGCGGGCTTTGCCATACTCAAATAACCTAATCTAACACAATATACATAGGGTGATTATAAAATGTCTGATAAAAACGTAAAGACAAGTCAAGTTGACTAAAATAAACAGGATTTCTTAAGAAATATGTGGTCGAGATGGTCGTTGAGGTGGTAGGAGGCTGAGACCAGTAGGTGAAAGCTGTTCGTTAACTCAAACATTACTCTTTGTGCGGATTTTGAAAGTTATGCATCGCTACATATTACGGAAAACTATGAAACTGTAGAACTCCCGACATGCATTTTTGCTATAGACGGAATCGAAACATCTGCTCAACTGTATAGAGAATGATTTCCTAGTAGACAGGTTGTGGAATTGCTAAATGTTTGAGAGTCTTAACCGGGAGCTTGGAAATAATGGATTGTTCCTCGCTTGCAGGTTTTATGTGAACAGGGGGGGGGAAAGGAACAAGTAGAAGCTACGCCAGCACCTCTGTACTACCACAGGTGATTGAAATATTGCTGAATCTAGCTGTTAGGATTCCGCTCCAGTTTTGAGGAATAACACCCCGGGGAGAGGTCCAAGGGTCTCTAAATCCTCTTCCTCTACCAACAACCATACGAGAAAATTTCGGCTCGCCGTGTATTTTGAGTGCTTTCATGCCGCACGGACACTATATACGTACAAGTATCCCTGCCTTCTCCGAGATTCGAAGCTGGACCCATCGGTTTGGCATTTAGAATCATTAGCCACTATACAGGCTGGGCGGCGTTGAATGTAACAGATAGGTAAATAATACAGAGAAGAGATTGTCCTTGAAGCTGAGGCGCCGAAAAGTCAAAATATTCTTTCAGATGTCCTTTCTGAGGTGGAAGGTGTATCAAAATAGTCTTTGGAAGTCCCACCCATCAGAATTGCATTATGGAGTTTGTAAATTGCCGAAAATGATTCTTTATGGAAAAAATACAGGGACAATTTTGACCCAACTGCACTTTTCAAAAGAAAGAAATTGAAACATTATATCGTGAAAATGAAATTAATACTTTAAATAAAACTGTGCAAATGCAGTGATGCTACACTTGACAAATATCATGTCCAAGTCTCTGGATATGTATAAGAATGTCTCTAATCTTGGCCCTAACATGTCTATTCTTTATTGCATATTTTTTAAATGGAATTAGATTATCCCGAGACTTTGTCCGATTTATACCCACTGTCAGATTGTAAGGATCTTAAGTTTTACTAACGTTTATTTTATTTTAAATCTTTACTATCACTTCTTATTTTCTATTCCGGCCAGAATTATAAGCGTGAAGGAGTTTATGCAAAGTTGTCTGGCGAACGCCAAGTATTAAGTGTGGCCTTTTTGCCAAGCAGAAGAGAGGAAGCCGTGAGTTCGAAGCAGGCCGCTTACCTTAGAAGTTACGCAGTTGCTACTTTGCCTTCAGGCCAGAGGTTTTCATCCTCTTGATAAATTAAACGTATTGTAGTGTTCACAGTCTCTGTGCTACATACCGCTTCCTGTTATTATAAGGCAATCTTATTCTAAAGTTAAATTAGAGTTTAGTTTTATTTTGATATCTTTAAGTTAGACCCCGAGTGGAGGGTCATTGTATTCCGAAGTACGGAAGTCATTGTAATAAAGAAAAAAATAAAGGGTTTTGTATACCCTTCGTCTTTATCCTGTCTACTTACTACAATTAGTGAACATAGCTTTAGTAAGCTCTCTGTTCTAGTCAGGTCATTGTATGTTTCCGAAGAAGGTTAGAAGAAACATTGAACCTGATAAGATCACAGTCAAAAATATAATGATCACCGTTACCCCTTTCCTTACATACGCAGAGATCAGTGGGGCACATGCCTCTGTCATGGAACACACCATGCTCTGTGATATATTGATTCAGAACCAAACATCACAGACGAAAACGTCGCGGAGAAGACATCGTAGAGAGATAATGTCGTCGTGCAAAACATCGTGGGAGAAAAGAAAGCGAAGAGAAAACATTGCAGTTCTAAAACATCGTGGTTTTAAAAATAAAAGAGGTTCGAAAACTTCGCCGTTTAAAAACATCACCGTCGAAAATAATTTGGTAAAAAATAAATCACTCGCAAAGGATCTCATGACAATAACATCGCAGACATACGTTTTCTAGGCTTGAAAAGTTGTAAATGCATATTCGCGTACCGATTTGTGAACGTAAGAAGGAAAGAGGAATCTTTTTACTTTTATATTTCATATTTTTGAATTAACTATTAATTTTGTAATGATAAAGTAAGAAGCAAAATTAAGCATTTAAAAACTGAAAATGAGTTGAAAATTAATGCAACTTATAGCACTTAATTTTAAACTTACATAGTTAACTAACAAAAGCCATTAATCTTTTTTTATAAAGTTTTACAGCTAATTTTTCATGAAAAATATAGTCTAAAAGATTAGAAAAAGGAAGATTACAATCCATTATGCGAATATGCATTTAACAACTTTAAAAGCCTGAAAAATGCATGTCTGCGATGTTATCGTCATGCAATGATTTGTAAGTGATTATGTTACCACGATATTTTCGTCGGCGATGTCTTTAAACTGCAAAGTGTGTGAACCGCTTTATTTTCAGCGACGATATTTTGTACCACGATATTTTAGAACTGCGATGTTTTCTCTTTACTTTCTTTTCTCCAACGATGTTTTGTACGACGACGTCTCCGCGACGTTTGAGTCCACGATGTTTTTGCCGTGATGTTTTCGGCGGACATCCCCGCGGAATCATTTATTCGCTATCTGGAAGAATCTTTTAAACTATTTCAATTAACTTAATTACAAAAGATTGAAAAATTGCTTACTGGTTCTTTAAAGTATTTATTTGATCTTTGAAACGTATTATATCATTGAACAAGTTAAAGGAAAAACTTTTACCTGAATTTTATTAGTAATATATAAGTTTAAAGATTAGTAATATATAAGTATATACAAAGTGAAGCTTTAAAAACATATTGCATTTCATTGCTTCGTTTGATCTTAGGAAGGTCATCCAGCATTTTTGATGATTCTACTTAATCTGGAAATTTTTTAATTCAACTGCTGGTTAAATTTATAAATCAAAATACTTTCCTAATTTGTAGCCCCCCCCCCCCAAATTACTTTTTTTGATTTTGTTAGAAGTTGTGTCAGACAATATCTTTCTTAGGTAATGAGGTTATGTGAAACTTAGACTAGTTCATTCACTTTTATTTTTTTAATGTCTCATGCGCAAGGACTTTCACGTTTTCACAAGTTTATTTCATAATGCCAAAGTTTTCTGTTTCTCAAAATTTAAATCTTTTTTTTTTTTTTTTTTTTTTTTTTTTGAATGAGTAATGAAACACTGAGTTGAAACGTTGCAGATAAAATTACAATGTTATAAAATGCGTTCTTACACTCACTCACGCTCTATTTACAATAGAAGGTCAGACAGTAGTTATAGTTAACTGAAACACCTGAAACAGGGTTTATAAACTGGGCATAAAATATAAAAACATTCACAAATATTATAAAAAAAAACTTCCCACAAATTAAAATTCAGTACATCTACGTACATCGTTTAAACTTCAACTTAAGTTGTGAAGAAATCAATGCTATTAAATGACCACAACAGAATACGTGACTCAGAAACTGCAGCTGATAACAAATATCAGGAAACTCATTTAAAATCAATGTACGTGACTACAATAAGAAAAAGCTTTATTTATTACGCTCAAAATATTTGTAAGTTAGTTATTTAAGTAAACGGCAAATGTAAATTTACAATTTTGTTTTTTGATTTTGATGAATGAACTATTTTGAGAAATGATAAACTTAACTTCATTACCATCTTAAATAATTTATGCAGAAGATTTAATAAATAAATGTTGCATCATATGCGAAGTATTTAAGTGATATAGTCATGATATAGTTAGACTTCTCAGAGAGAAAAACACTTAATTTATCAAGTTTCCCTATGCTATCATGTCATATGTTT